CCTCCGCCTCTCTACCCCTTCACTTCTCCCCATGCCCTCCCCCAGCCCCCTCCCCATTCACTGGGCTCTTGCCTCTGCAGGAACCTCACACTGGAGCTGGAGATCTTTCCTGCTGCCACGGACAGCCGCTATATCCGTGCGGTGAGCTGTTTGTACAGTAGCGTGGGCGGTGGGCTGGCCCGAACGCTACCTTCCCCTGACAGCTCCTTCTCAACTCCGCAGGCAGGAGTCCCAGCTCTGGGCTTCTCACCCATGAACCGTACACCGGTGCTACTACATGACCATGACGAGCGACTGCATGAGGCCGTGTTCCTCCGGGGAATTGACATATACACACACCTGCTGCCTTCCCTGGCCAGTGTGCCCGCCCTGCCCACTGAGCACTGAGCCCTAGACGTCCCCCAGCCTCTTCCCTGGAACTTCCCCCCCAAGCAGGGCAAGAACTTCCTCTTCCTCTGCCCAGTTAAATCTGTGTGGACAGAGGCTGCACCTGAAGTTTTAAGTGCAGACATCCATGGAGAAGGGGTCCTCATTTCTCTGGTGATGTGCAGTTACCATCCCCATTTCACGGATGCGGTCAATCTGGCTCTAAGCTCTTGCCTACCAGAGCACAATGCTCTGTACTCGACATAATAGTCCAGTATCACTGAGCCACACCTACCCACCAATAAGGAGCCTTAGTTCCTGTGCTCAGTGGCCACCATGCTTAAATTTGACCTGTGTGGGTGGGGACACTACTCCCATTTTAAGGGGATACCAAGATAAGCTCCTCAGGATACTACTAGCTTTCTTGGGGGTACCCTTGGGACCCTAGGGCAGGATCAGAATTGGGCCAACTGGGCCCTGCCATTTGTGGAACAGCTTACAAGGTATGAATGCTTATTTTGTTAGCGTGTTTTGTCAAGACCCATGGGCTGTGGTATGGGGAGATGCAGACTGGCCAGTGGTCATGGATCAGTGTGTGTGGAGGGGCCCAGGAGTTGGCCTTTAGTCTCGGTGCCTGTGGGACTCCTTTGATGACTAAGCCAACAATCATTTTGGTTGTGACCGTCCTTTTGCCTGCCAGGTGACCCTGCCTAGTGTTCCAAACCCTGCAGACAAGTCATTAAGATAGCCCACCTGAGGGCCAGGGATTTAGCTCAGTGGCGCCACCACCTGCCTCTCAAGCGCAAGGACCTGAGCTCAAACCCCCAACACACACCAAAAACAATAAAACAAAGATAGCCCACCTGACATTTTGCTGTTTTTTAGTTGAGACTGACCTGGAACTATGTAGCCTGGAACACATGGTGATCCTCCTGCCTCAGCCTCCCGAGTGTTGGGATTACAGACGTGTGTCACCATGCCCAGCTAAATTATTTATTTATTTCGTACTGGGGATTGAACTTGGGTCCCTGTGCTTGCAAGGCAGGCGGCAGAACCACTGAGCTAAATCCCTGGCCAACATGTGCTATGTTAATAGTTTGCGTGTAGAGGATGCTAGGGACAGAACCCAGGGCTTCACATATACCAGCCAAGCATTCTTGCCACTGAGCTACATCCCCAACCCATGTTAGTACTTCTTGAGAAAGTCGGTTAGCTTCAGGCTTTGTCTAGCTCAGCATATAAACCTCTTTCTCTTGCTATTACCTGAGACACATATCTGTCATTAGGTCCCCAATAAACTGGCTTTTGTGCATTCCCAGATGTTTGTCTCTTTGGTCTTTCAACACCTTCCTCCTCTGGCAGCTTTTCATATAGTGTTGTTCTGAAACAGCCTTGGTAGGTGCCAAGTCAGCTACAGTCCAGACCTCCGTGTGTATAAGGAGGAAAAGCTTAAGTATTTGGCTAGGGTAATTCCAGAGCCTATCGGCAAAGCACTAAGATTCTGACCTGTTTATTCACTGAATCCACACACAGGCCTTTTGATGTCCTATGCTGCCAAAAGCTTACCGAGTGTGGAGGCAATGGCCGACTGAGCCATGCCTAGTTGAAGTCCCTGCCTGCCTATCTAAGGCTCCAACACATAGGCCTTGCTCTGACAGGGCCAAGTAACCAACAAAATCTGCTCTTTTCAAGACCCTATTTCCATTTGACACCTCCTGGCAGTCAGATAGCCACCCACACAGCTAACAGCCACTGGCTATTAGGCAATCTAAACTTAAAGCTACCTGGTGTTGAAAACCCTACTTCCTGGGGCCCAGATAGGCCACCTAGGTTCAAATGCTACTCATAGCTCTTTTCAGTCCCATGATCACTTCCTCACCTGTGTCAACAAAAATACACCCAATTCAGGAGAGACCATAATCCTACTGCACTGGCATTAGCAGTTCCTTCTTTGCAGTACTGGAGATTCAACTCATGGCCTTCGTACTGTACTTTACTTTTTTGGTATTGGGGATTGTTTTATTTTTTTAGAGACAGGATCTCGCTAAGCACTAAGTTGCCCAGACTAAGGCTTAAATCTGTGATCCTCCTACCTCAGCCTGAGACTAGGATTATAGGCTTGTGCTGCCAGGCAGGTGTAACCAGGACATGCTCCATTTGGCAATCCCTACATAAAGCCTCCAGTATTTGCTACTTTCACTGCCATGAGGGTTACAGCCCTGCATGTGAAGCAAGTAGTAGTCAGGTAGGTTCACCACAGCCCTGCATTCCCAAGTCCCTATCACTGGAGGATCAGCACAACCCAGACCAGGTGCAGTATTAACAGCTGGAGTAGAGGTGAGCAGGCTCTTCCTTCAAGGCAGCGCTGGTGTACCTACAGCACTCACGTTTAGTTTTTGAGACAGAATCTCACCATATAGCTTAGGCTCCTGCCCCAGCCTCCCCAGTGCTAAGATTACAGGCATGCACCATCCCACTCAGCATATTATTGTTTTAAGATAAAAAGATGTTAATATAGTTCTTTTTTCTAAACTAAATCCTCATTATTCAGGTTTAATTGCAGCATGGCACTTTTCAGTAAGTGGGTCTTAAGTTGCAATTTGGCACTCAGTCTCTAAAAGATTCACCATCACTGCCTCAGGGTGCTGAGATTTCTTCCTTTTCTCAGCAGGGCACCTAGTTCATCCCAGGTCCCCAGAAGCCCCAACCATTCCCATACCAGGTCCTTCCTTCTGCACTCCAGGGTCCCATTCCCTGTCTGACCCACATCTGGCCATGAACAGAAGGCACTCTTCTTTGCCAAAGGAGCCAGCAACTCCACCCCAGCCTCAGGATGACAGACACAGGCTAAAAGATCCTGCCTCAGGTTTATTTGTACAAAGAGCACAGGAGGACACCAGCCCTCTATAGATGGCAGCCCAGGGGTCACACCAGTCCTCCTGTCCTCGCACTGGGAGATAGAGGCATTTACTGTGGAGCCTTTACAGGGGCCTGAGCACCTTTGGGAGCCTGAGCTGGAGCAGAAGCTGGAGTGGCAGCCTGAGCCTGGGCCTTGGCTGGAGCCTGGGCCTTGGCTGGAGCCTGGGCCTTGGTTGGAGCCTGGGCCTTGGCTAGTGCCTGGGCCTTGGCTGGCGCCTGGGCCTTGGCTGGAGCCTGGGCCTTGGCTGGAGCCTGGGCCTTGGATGGCGCTTGGACCTTGGCTGGAACCTGGGCCTTGGCTGGCTCTTGGGCCTTGGTTGGATCCTGGGCCTTGGTTGGAACTTGGGCCTTTGGCCGGCAAAGCCTGCGACCCTTGGCAATGTGGGCACGGATACGCTTCCCGAGCTTGGGGTGGGCAATATAGGCAAGTCGAGCTAGCTTGCGGTTCACACCCTTTGGCATCTTGGGCTTGACCTCCTTGGGTTTGATGAGGGCCTTGATAGCCTCAGCGCGAGCACTCATGGCCTTGGCATTGTTTGCCTGCATCTTCTTCAGGCCCTTCTTGTTGTGCTTCTTGGCAAAACGCATATTCCTTAGGAACTTGGGATCTACCTGGAAAGGAGAAATGGCTCAGGTGGCAGCATATAAGTAGTACAGTTAGAAACAAAGGAGTGGAGCCATACCCTTCCCTTCAAATACCACACCACGCTGATTAGGATTTTGCTTCCATAATCCTAAGACAGAAGCTGTGAACTACTTCCCTTCTCTCCATTCAACTATAAACACATCACCACCCCAGTGATTATCCAGGCTTAAACTTAGGACATGCAGACCAGTAACAGTGAACCTACAAATACTATAAGCCTGAATTACCAAGTCCTCCTTTCCCCTTTGCACTCGAGTCCTTTTCCTTCACCCTTCTTCCTGCGATCTTTAGTAAAAGCAGCTACTATATACTAAGGTGTACACTTGGCAATTCTTCTCGTCATCACAAGAACCTGGACTACCTCTGGCCCACTCAACTGCAACACAAGGGCTCCAAGTCATCCTCTGCTCCTTTCCACAAGGGTACCTAATTTTCTAAAAACATCATCATATTCAACCTTTTAAAACTATTTCCAAGGGCTGGGGATTTAGCTCAGTAGTTCAGTGGCCTGCCTTGCAAGCACAAGGACCCAAGTTCAATCTCTGGTACCGAAAAAAAAAATATTTCCAGAGGCACACATACCACCCACTTACCCAAAGGAGCCAATACTCTATCTAGCTAATGGGGTACAAAACACATTTTCACAGCTGCTAAGAGTCAAATGTGACTGCAGATAGAATGAATGAGGAAGACTGCCCTCTGTCGCGATTATAGGAGATGCACTTCCTACAGTAGGAGTTTGGCTAAATATTTCTCCTGAAATTCCCAAAGGAATACTCCCTCCCCCTTTAAAGGAGTGTCAGTACCATGCCTGGACCAACAGATTCACACCAAAGATCTGAGAGCAAAGGTGTGGGGGAGAAACAGAACGGCTCAGCCCCCTTCCCACATCTGCCTTCTTAGCTTATCCTCAGAACCCCATGACAGGGAAGAGAGTAAGTAGCCCCAGTGCTCAGTACCAGTTCAGGTAAATGCCATAAGGCTGGTAAATGTGAAACAGGATGACGGAGTGCCTGGCATACAGGTAAGATTAAAGGCTCTGGTTAAATGAGAAGGCCATTCGCCCTCAGAAAGCAGGTTACACTATGGACTGGGAAAGGCCAAAGAACGCTTTGTCAAGGGTTTAGCAAGGTAGAGAAAGGAATTGTGGATTTCAGTAGACCACATAAGTCAAGGGACAGTTAACAGTACTTAAGGCAGAAACTGAAGCTGGAGCCAAGAAGGGACATTTTATGTGATTCACTGCACACACTTACCCCCTTCAGAGATTCGTATCTTTGCGATCGAGGTTTCTTGATGCCATTTCTGTGCCATTTTCGGGCTTCAGGAGGAGGAAAAAAAGGTAATTAGGTCATATATGAATCCCAGGACTCCGGGAGGCTGACGTATAAAGACTGCAATGCAAGTTCAAGCTCAGCCTGGGAAACTTAGCAAGACCCTATCTTAAAAATACAAAGGGCTGGAAATATACCTCAGTGCAAAGGCCCTGGGTTCAATCCTGAAGGAGGGGGAAAAAAAAACAAGACTAAAAAAGAGCTTTTCTTTTTAATACCACCCATCATCAGGGATAACCATTATTTTCTGAACCAGGACTCCTTGAGATCTTATCACTGAATGCAAAGCACTGTGAATTTCTCAAGAGCATCCCTGCCAGGCGTAGTGGTGCACACCTGTAATCCCAGCACTTGGGAGGCTGAGGCAGGAGGATCACTGTGAGTTCAAGACCAGCCTGGGCTACACAGTGAGTTCCAGGTCAGCCTCACTACATAGTGAGACCCTGTCTCAAAAAACAAAACAAAACAAATAAGAGTATCCCTGCCTGACTGCCAAATATACAACCTCAAAATACTAGCTAGAAACAAAATCAACTGCAAGGTAACAATGGAAATGTGCCCTCTGGTTATACTCTCCTCGACACGGAATGAGCCTGGGGTGGGCCCGGGAAACTTACACTGGTTGTGCGTGGTGTGGTTCTTGGACTTGGCCATATCTGCACCTATAAGACAAGGGTGATATCAGGACAGAGGGCTCACCAGGCTAGGAAACCTCTGCTGCCCAGACCTGTTGGAACACGAGACCAGAAACCAGACAGCACAGACCTCCAAAGCCTCAACTCACCCTGCCCGACCCTAGGCCAGTCTCTGCCTCTCAAACCCAGCAAAAGATGCCCTGAGACCAACTGCTGCCCAACTCAGACTGAACTCCTGGATCAAATACGACTTCTTCACTCTCTCCCTACCATATACCCCTCTGAGAACCCAGAAGCAACATCCCGCCCCGCCGCAGCTTCCACTCCCCAACAGCCACACCGCCAGTGTTCCTCTCCTATCCGCGGCCAGTACCCCATAACTCGCGGCGGGCGGCCGCCCGTAAATCGCCGATGGCATCAGATACCCAGCAGTCGAAACTCACCGTAATCCGCTACCGCCAAGCTTGGGACCGGAAGAAGAAAAGAAAGGCCGCAGTGCTGCACGGGAAAAAGGAACTGACGATGCCGGAAGGTACTATAGAAAAGCTTCCCCCATCACGGAAAAGAAAGGTTCCGAAGGCCAGAAAGGCCTCAAGCTAAATTGGGAGGCTGTGTGTCTGGCCCCGCCCCTTTCTGCTGTCTCCTTCCAGCCTTTAAAGATTCTGAAGGTGAAGGAAGCCCTTGAACGGTGGTTGTTAGAGCGACAGATTTTTCTTCTTTTTATTTTTTTAATGAGTTTATTTTAAGTTTTTAAAAAATACATGTAAAATTACCCACGTTCTGGGCTAAAAGTTTTTACAAAGAGAGTAAAATTTTCTAAAATTATTTTCTCTTAGTTATTAAAGTACATAGATTTAAAAGATGTTAGAAGAGAAAATGTTAAGCCATTGGTCAATGTTTAAATAAGGTTAATTAATACACATTAAATCTTTAAATTATACTAAAAGACTAAACACTAAAAACATTTAGGGGAGCCGGGGATTTAGCTCAGTGGTTCATTGGCCTGCCTTGCAAGCTCAAGGACCCGAATTCAATCCCCGGTACAAAAACAAAAGAAAACAAAACAAAAAAACATTTAGGGGTTCACCGGGCGTGGTGGCGCTTGCCTGTAATCCCAGCCCTCAGGAGGCTGAGGCAGGAGGATCCCTGTGAGTTGGAGACCAGCCTGGGCTACGTAGTGAGTTCCAGGTTAGTCTCAACTACATAGTGAGACCCTGTCTCAAAAAACAAAAAACAAAACAAACAAAACATTTAGGGGAAAACATTCTATTTTCTTTTCAGAAAACTGGAATCTTGGATGATATTTTGTGTGATTTTTTTTTTCTCTTCCAGTACCAGGGACTGAAGATTGCAGGTGACACATGGAAAAAGAACCCTGAAAACACTTTAATAATTTTGTTCCATCAATCAGTGCAGTTGAGTATTTATAATTAATAATGGTGATAGTATAATTTTTTTAGCCAAATACACATATCTTCAATGAGGTGTGTGGAAGGAATCTTATGCAGACCTAGGTGGGTTTGCATAATTAATTACTTAGCAATAGACCTATAGCTAGCTCTTTTTTATACCATAGAAAATGGTATACAGTATAATAGAGTAAAAATAAACTCTTGGAAAATAGTTAAGTACTTGGGAAATAGTTAAGTACTGGTGAACAAGTTGAATGAATGTACAGTTAAAGAAAAAAAAATACCAGCTACAATTTCTGGGTAAGTTCCAACAGCTACCAAAATAGTGCCCTAAGTCAAATGGCCTTGTGTATCTAAGGGCCAGGCCCCAAGTGGCAGTGGAGAGAACAAGGCACTCTGGTCTATGGTAAATGTACATCTTTTAAAATCAGTAGACTTAGGGCTGGGGGTTTGGCTCAGTGGTTCTGGCACCTGCCTCGCAAGCACACAGGCCGGAGTTCGATCCCCGGTACCAAAACAAAACAACAACAACAAAAAACCAGAATGACGGCATGGAGGCACACTTTCTTGGGCCAGGGATTTGGCTCAGTGGTTCTGCCTCCTGCCTTGCAAGCACAAGGGCCCGAGTTCGATCCCCGGTACCAAAAACAAAACAAAACAAAAAAACTAGGTACTAAAATCAGTAGACTTCAATTCAGAGAAACAAAACAGACCTATTCCACCTTAAAAGAAACACAAATGTATGAGATTATTACACAAAGAGAAGGCCATGCTAAAACACAGTAAATAAGGGGACAATACCAAAATTTAAGAAATGTAAAACAAGAGATAGAATGTGAGAGAACACAATGGTATCAATTATGGATGAGGATTTCAGCAGCAGAAACATATCAGAAGGATGGAAGGGAAGGAGGGGTATCGCAAAGAATCTGCATTGCTTCTTGGCAATGTTGGTAATCTTCAGTGGCACTGTAATGAAGCGTGTTGTTTCATGAAGATAATTCTTGGGTACTATGTTTGTGCACCTTGGGAACTAAACCCAGGGCCTTGATCATGCTAAGCACATGCTCTGCCACTGAGTTAGTTACATTCCTAGCTCCAAAGGAAAGGTTTAATGCTAAGAGTAATTAGAATTGAAAAAGGTAAAATGGTGCCAACAGACAACATTTTTGATACTAGGTAACGTAAATGACCTGATCAGGCAATCTGTGGGAAAAAGAAGCATGATGTAGCATTTATATCCAAGTCTAGCACCAGGCAATATTAATAAAATTTGCTTCCAAACACTTTGAATTCATGGGAATTTAGAACAAAACTAGAAAGCCCTTCTAGAAATGAAGAGATTAAAAATTATTTAAGTTAAAGTGGATGGAGATAGTCATAGATTTAAACTCTGGGAGAAAAAAAATGTTTGTTTTTTCTTTTGATATGGGGGATCGAACTCAGGATCTTGCACTTGCAAGGCAGGCAACAGCATCACTGAGCTAAATCCCCAGCCCTGGGAGAAAAAAATGGATTGGAAGATTGAGAAAAATTTAGGATTATGTATCAAGAATGTGATCTGGGTGTGGTGGTGCATGGCTGTAATCCCAGAACTTGGGAGGATGAGGCAGGAGGATCTCTATGAGTTTGAGGCCAGCCTGACCTGAATAGTGAGACCTTCTCTCTAAAAAACAAACAAAACAAGTTTCCCTGATGTGAATAATCTGCAACAATGCATAAAATTCTAATAATATTACTGACATTTAGAAATGGGAAGAAAGGAGCTAAAGGTATAGGGAAGGTGGGATGGGTAGGGGAAGAGTAAAAAGGGAAAAGAAAAAAATGTGAGAGAATGAAAAGATGAAAATAAAGTGTTTGTAGATGGGGAGGGGAGGAGGGGGTGAAGGGAGGGCAGAGGTAAGGGGAAAAAAATGAGAATCAAGACTTGTCATGTAGAGGTACAAGATCCCAACAATGAATGTAACTGTACTGTATCCCTAAAATGTACCAATAAACTCAATTAAAGCTGAAAAAAAAAACAACAAAACAAAAGAATGTGAGATGTCTAAAAAATATTAAGACTAGTATCGAGAGGCAATGTATGAATTATACTAATGTGCTTCTGAGTAAATATTCTGTTCTCAGCCAGTACTCTGAGGGAGGTCTTGAATAAACATTACTAGTTGGCTTATTTTTCTTAAAAGATAGAAAAGTCGAAGATCTCACACATCTCTCTCATTTGTTCTTTTTTGGGCAAACAAGTAGACTGGTCAAAGTAAATTATCTGAAGAAGGATAGTAAGTACAAATTTGTTTACTGATCACAAATCATCACCCAAAATACACTGATTTAGGGTTCATAATGTGTAATTATTGGTATAACCTAAAAAAAAGACTCATGGGTTAAGATCTCCAAATTTCTTGAATTAAAAATGATTATTTTTTTTCTAATAGCTTCTGATATGTAGAATTAATGATGTCTGTATTTTGCATTGGTGCTCATATTCAGGAAATTATCTCAGCTAGAAAAAAATTCAAATGATTTTAGTCAGTGCCAGATTATAAACCAGCAGCACATATCAATGCCAAGCTTGTGAATGGATGGACGGTTAGATAATTTTATGAATTAAGAGACCTAACTGTTATACTGGACTTTGACTCTGTTTCACAAAAGCTACTACCATTTTTACAATTGTAACCGGTGTTGATAAAATTTGCTAAGTTTAACTACACTGTACAGGTAAATGTGGAAAACCGGTTAATGTTTAAAATAACTTCTCGAGCCGGGGATTTAGCTCAATGGTTCCATTGCCTGCCTCACAAGCAGAAGGGCCCAAGTTCAATCCCCAGTACCAAATAATAATAAATAAAATAAAATAACTTCTCATTTGTAAAGATAATTTAAAAAGTTAAAATTGAAAACTTAGCTATGTTTTAATATTAGAAATCCAATAAGTTTAATAAACGAAACCCACAATAGAGGAGATGTTTTTCACGGCGTAAATTTGACATGTCAGAATGTGACAAACAATACCAAGTGTCAGTAAAATTTAAAGGACATGTACATGTACAGCTGTAAAATAAGTAAACAATTTTAAAGTGTGCAAAACTAGTCAAGAAAGTGCTAGATGGATACCTGCTTTTCAAATATTTGTTTCGAGGGCCGGGGATTTAGCTCAGTGGCTCCACTGCCTGCCTTGCAAGCCCAAGGGCCTGAGTTCAATCTCCCGTACCAAAACAAACAAACAAAACAAAAAACAAATCAAATATTTGTTACAAAACTTCTCAGTTAAAGGTAGAAAAAAAGTAGAAAGTGGGGCCAGGGATTTAGCTCAGTGGCACTGCACCTGCCTTGCAAGTGCAAGGTTCTGCGTTCAATCCCTGTTACTGAAAAGTATAAAACATAAAAGTAAAAATGTAAAGAATACATAAAACATACTTTATTATCTGACTGTATGTCCTTGTGATGTCACTGCCTGATCAGAGGCCTATCTAGTTACTGTTCTCATGTGACCAGATACAGTACAGCTGGAGGGAAACTTGATGTAACAGCACAGAGGCTAACAAATCCTGAAGTGCAATGAGGCTCTTCAAGGACACTGTGGGTGTGTGTAACGTGCTTTCCTATAATTTTAGGTACATAAGTTAATAAACCTTGTATGATTGCCTTTATTAGTCCATATTTAAAAAGTAACTTAAAGAAATAAAAAATATTTAAAATCACGAAACAAAATCTTAACATTGCCACTATGTAAGGAATTATTGTAATGTGTAAATCCTGAAGATAACATGTTAGAAAATGAAGTTGGCTTATTAGTATATTTGTCTTGGGATACTTGAAGTTAGATGACTAAAAATACACCTGCGGTCTCTTCCTTCATCTCGTATTTTAGTGAACCATACCGCACCTCCTTGCGGCCTTTGACGGTTTTCACAGATTTCATGCTTTATTTTTTTTGTACCAGATATCACACTGCAGTCCTTGTGTCTGTGAAGCAGGTGGTGGCACCACTGAGCTAAATCCCCGGTCCTGATTTCTTGCTTTTTGATCATCGAAGCCCTTTGTGTGTTAGCATCTCATCATCTGAATACGGCCCATCCGCTTCTTTCATC